AAAATAAAACAAACAATCGATTATAATATAAAAACTAATGTGAAGAATGAATCTGATGCTGTTTAATAAGTTTGTTGATATCGGGTTCCAATTTACTCAAGAACAGCCGCAAGTCACCACGTTCGGTAACATGCAAACGATTTCTCTTTTTAGTAAGCAGCGTTATCACAGCACTACAACCACGTTCACATAAATATGACGATGGGAATGCTATCAAGAATCGTTGAACGATTGACCACAACCCAGGGTACAATTGCGGCATCGGTTTTTGTAGCCAAAATTCTTGGTAGCCACTTTGAATTTGATTTTTATTTCCTCGTTCTTTGTCAATTCTATAAGTTCTTCTTCCAGCTGAGGTGATACATATTGCTGTGTTGACATTTGAAAACGGACCCAACACCCAGTCTAGTCCAAGTTCAAAATGTCCTGGTATCGTTCGGTGAAGTCAATGTGGAGGTTTTCCAAATGTTGGCAGTAGGCAAACAAGTCGTTACTGCAGGATACTGATAAATTCGGAAAATTGTGAAACTCACGTCTGCCCATATTCTTTTCGTGTAGAAGCAGTTTGGCTGCGAAAGCAGCAACGACATTTTTTGTTTTTAATTAATAATTAAATTTAGTTCATCGCTTTGCAGTTGGAGATTCATGTCGTTGAACAATTTATACAGGTCTGTCATGTAAGCTGTATCATTCTTTGATGTAATGAGCTTGCTGAGAAATTCTGTGTCTTTAGTTTCCAAGAACTCTATCACAGAGTCAAACAGGTTGTAAAATCGAGTCAGAGAATTGCCTCTTGATAGTCCACGAACTTCAGTATGGAACAACAAACGGTTGAAATCTTCGTCATTAGTAACACAAAGCTGATGAAATAATCTATCATTCAAGGCTATTACGGATTTTATTGACTGCTTTGATCACATATTGCAGTGATTGAAATAGTTGTTCACTTAAATTTCTAGCAACCAAATGTTGTCTATGAATAACGCAATGTACAGCAAGATATCTGGAATTTTACTTTTAAGTACGCTATGAACCTTTTATGGCACCCTGTCATAGCCGGAGCGCCATCCGTAGCAACTGATATAATATTTTTAAAAGAATCTCTTTCTCATTACAAAACTTTTCCAATATTGAATATGGTTTCGCCATTTGTATCGGTCTCTAAATTTCTAGCAAACAATAGTTCTTCACATATTTTCTCATCTTTAATAAACCTCACGTAAGACAGCAACAATGCTTCATTAGTTGGTAAAGTGGACTTATCGAGCTGAATTGAGAATTGACTTGTCCTCAGATGATTGCACAATGATTCTTCAATGTTTTCAGCCATTTCATCAATTCGTCTTTGCACAGAATTATTACTCAACTGAATTTTTCGGATAATATCTGCGGCAGGTTTATAAAGCACAGTAGTTTTTACTTCCTTTATTGTTGGCAAAATTAACTCTTCTCCGATGTTGTGTGGTTTGCCTTTTTGAGCAATTAACAAAGAGACATTGTACGAAGCTCGAAGTCCGTCGTCATCTTGCTTAGCAGCCGCCGAGAAGAGTTTTGCTACACTCGGCTGAGTATTATGCTTCTTCTCTAGGTCTTGAAAATATGCTACATTCTTATCTTTCTTATCTGGATGCATTTTATTCAAATGATCTTGCAGTCTTGAAGGCTTCATTGCTTCATTCGAAAATGTTTTTAGACATAGACGGCACAAAGGCGACGATGGGTTTGTGGGATTTTCAATGAATCCGAATTTAATATATTCCGCACAGTATTGCCGTCTCTTCTTTTTTACTTCCGACATTGTTTTGTTTTGAGAAATACGTAAGTAAGTGTTGAACTTAAGTACTGCTTATCTATTACGCGCAAAACCGCAAATGAAAACAAAATAAATATTACGTTGTTTATATAGGATTGCATAAGCAGCAAGCACCGACAGGAATAAGACAAACGTGCATAAACTCGTTTATCTCATTCGACGCTCAATCGTACTCAACAAGTGAGAACAAGTATTCTATTAACCAGCCGATTGATACAGGAATGCACAAATCGGGTTATTTAACAAAAACTTGTTAAAACATTATTGCCCGCGGTCAATTATCTACGAAAATTACCTATCTAGGAATACTAATAACTAGTAAAACGCGAAACTGTGTCTGTTGCCTTTTTATTTGTTTGTTTGTGTCTACTTTCATTTCGAAACGGAGCGACCGATTGACATGGTTTTTATTTTATTTATTCAATAAAACAGGACAGATATATGAACTACACTCAGAGAAATATCGAACCGAGTTAGTTTGCGCAATCTCTTAATTAATATTAATTGATGTTCACAAGTTGTAGTCGAGAGTCGAGAGCTCAGTCGGTGTCTAAGAGTCTTCTTAGATGAAATTACAAATCTTCACCTAAGCCTCTACACAATGCCCCCATTTTTTTCTGGGTCTCTTACCGCCCCTCTTTAGGCCTGCAGCGCCCACTTTGGGAAAGGCTGATTTAAATATTCAAGTATATTACCTATCATGTATTTATAAATAATATTTCACGATACAATAATACTCGAATATTAAATAATATTGCACTATTAAAAATCAAATACTTAAATAATAAAATGTCTGAGAATGACTCATGGAACAGTGGATAAATAATGCTTCTTACCACGTTCTTACCTCTCAATTTAAAATTAGCTAACGACGCACTTTCGTGAACAGTAATACGAAGTGCGTTCCAAAGTCTGACCGCATGCACAGTGGAGGAGTGATAATAAAAACCGGAATTGAAGGAAGGAAAAGACAATTGGGACCTAACGAGAGAGCTACAGGGTTTGCAAGATCTTTCCAAAAACCTTAGTCACAGCGCCCAGTTTTTTTTTTTTATACATGACAGGCAAATGACTCCACTCTACCTGATATTAAGTGGAAAGTGGTATCCAAACGCGAAGGAACCTAGTGCAGCGATGAAACCCTCACTGTACTAGCCACCTCCACCCTGCCTGCCTACAATATGCCTCTTCACGCCTCGTTTGAAGGACCCCATATCATAAGAGGGAGGGAAGACATGTGCCGCAAGGGAGTTCCATTTGTCAACCGTGCGGCAGAGAAAGGAGCCACCGAACCTTTTAGTACGCGATGGAATGCGGCAGGTAGTGAAACGGTGACTACGAAGGCCAGCACGCGTGCTTCTGAGCAGGAACGGGGAAGGGGGGATGAGGTTGAACAGCTCTTCAAAGCACTCACCATGGTGCATGCGGTAAAAGGCGCTAAGCGATGCAACATCTCTACGCAGTTCCAGAGGTTCAAGGCGTGATGAGACCTCTTCGTCGCCTATAATTCGAGTAGCACGATTAGAAGATTAATAGATTTCGCGCGCCGATCGCCCAGTTACCACGCCTTCATATGCATTAATGGCGAATCCGAATTCTATTTAGTAGTCAACAACATTTAAATTCCTCTGAATAATACAACCACGTGGTCGCCGAGCGGAGTCCGCGTTGCCGGCGCCGCATAGACCGAATGCAAGTCAGATTTAAGTGAAAACGTAAAAGCCTTTTGCCATGACAAAATACGCTCACGTCCTGTTTTTCAACTACAACACCTGGCGACGCTTACATTAGTGAGCCAGGATCACAGTGTGGTCGGCGTCTAACGCCTCACTGTAACGCCCAAGTAACGCGCGTCGACAGCCGCCCAACTGCAATCAAGCATCGACTCCATATTTGCATAACACAAATTTGTATCTTAAAAGTGGGACGATAGAGATGAATATGCTATAGGCGAAATACATAACGCGTCGCGATGCTTCAACTCTGTGCCAGTGTGAGTTGAGCTTTATTTACGTAAAGCTCTATTATCTCTGCTAGTTAATTTTGCGCAAGTTAGCTCTAGGTAATACATAGGATATGAAACTATTTTTCCGGATTTAAATCGCGTATATTTGTTTTTTCAAACAAACCGACGTTTCGGGCCCTTTACAGGTCCCATGGTCACGGTTGACTGAGGTCAGTCAACCGTGACGTGAAAAAACAAAAATACGCGATTTAAATCCGGAAAAATAGTTTCATATCCTATGTGTAAGAATCGCGAAAACCTAAGAACTCGATATCTAGGTAATGCTTTTTTACAAGACGACAAGGTACTTATAAATTCTCAATTAAATTCGTCGGATAAAATTTCTGTACACAGGTCACTAAATTATGTAATTGTTATAAAAATAAACCAACTAAAACCATCTTACCAGTCAACAAAACAATCTTGTTTCCATAAAGCAGGTCCTTATACTTATTCCCATATTTCTCCTTCTGCTGCAAATTGGCCATTGTCTTATGAATCATGTGGCCAGTCCTTTTCATCTCGACTATTTCAGCAACAGCTCTTTGGGCATGTAGAACTCCAGAATCGTAATGGTCTCCAGTATAATCCTTGTCGTTGAAGCCTGCCGCTTTTGAGACTAGCAGAATGATAAGTCCGACAGATTGCAGGTTGCTTTTTGAACCGATCAAAAGGTTCTTTGCTTGTTTTAGAAGGGGATGGTTTGTTCCCACCTAGCAATAATGGTATTGTTGTTTTATTGGAAAGAATTATTGTAACCTCACATTTACGAGTCTAGATAGCAGTAGTGCTCCTTATAAAAGAGTACGTCCAGGGAAGTACTGCCACCTTACCTATTTCTGCCGCCAAGCAGTAATTTCAGCATTACTGTGTCCCGGTTTTGAAGGGAAAGGGTGCTGGTGAAGTTACAGGCACATGGGACTTCCCTGGCGTAAGCTAGGGCGGCCGGGCGGCGTCGTGGTGAATGTTCACTGATCCCACGGCGCCGACTCAACCGGCGAGAGGGAAACCCGGGGGGGTTTTAGTGGGGTAGGCCCTCCAGTCTGGAGGGAGAGTCCCCACATAACCCCTGAGTCTCCCTGGGCTCAGGGGTATCCATAAAGATTTCCCCCCCGGCAAAAAAAAAAAAAAGGCACATGGGACTTGTCAACTTATATCTGAGGGTGACGATGAGAACGACGGGCGAATTTTTTCAACTATTACATAAAATGTAACACAGAATACTTCTGTATAATTACTTGATGTTTAGTAAAAAAAATTATGCTATCAAGTGATGAGGCGAACAAGTCGTGCGCCTGGTGAGCCTGGTGATAAGCGACACCTGTCCATAGCAATTGCAGTCGTTAAAGAGTTTTAAATCGCAAAGATCTTAGGGGTAATGCCATTGCGCCCGTCACCTTGAGACATAAGTTTACAAGTCCCGTGTGCCTGTAATTTCACAAGCACCCAAATAAGGGTGACATGGTCCCGTTTTATTTACCTATGTTCCGGTATCAAAGCCTAGTGCTATTCTCCAGGATCCACTTACAGTACTATTTTGGATACGTACTAACCAATTTCCTCAAATGAATTGCAGTGTTGGCTATTTCATCGTTGAAAAGCCATCGCAAGTTAAGAAACGAAGTCGGATACCCGACGATTCTCTCTGCCTCGCTCACCGCGTCTCTCCAGTCAATCTCACTAGATTTACTCCTGCTCAACACGATACAAGTCTTTTTACCAGAAATTTCCAAACTTTTATCTTTATACAATTTGACATAACTAGAATTAGGATTCAGTCGCGAAAGTAGATTAGAAATTTTGAATGGTAACATTTTTATCTCGAATGAAATACAGAATTTTTTAGTGAATTTCTAAAAAGTTCTGCCGAACTGTTTGTGGTTGTCATAGGCAATAAAAAGCTTTTGCAATCTTCGTACGTGAACAAAAGAGATCAAAAACTTTAGTTTTGTTTGAAAAAAAACATACTCATTTTAGGTAAAGAATTTTAAGGTAAAGAAAATTCTCCAAGAAGCTCTTCAAAATATGTCCTATGAGGATACAGAGAATTTATTTATTATCGTAAATTAAATGTTGTCTTGTTTAAGTGTACATTTTTTATTTATTTTTTATTTTTTTTTATTGGCAATTTATTATTTAATTGTTTAATTTTATTTCATAAGATTCTCCTAAAAAGTATTTATAATATTAATAGTATCCACATTTATAATTAGTAGTACTTTTTACCTGAAATACAGGAATTTCCTAGTTCAGTACATGTGTTATTTTGACATTAAATCGCATAAGTAGTCTTTAGTTTTCTCTGTACATTATGTTACTGAATAAACAATTTTATTATTATTATTATTATAGATCCCTGCCACATTGAGAATTGGTCATTTTCCAACTGCCTAGAAGGTATCACAATTAATAATGATACACAAGTACAGGAAACCACCCCATGCATGCGCCCCTTATCGTGCAATCAGCCTTATACCTGTGCTGTCAAAGTTGTGACAAAAAATCTTTCTATCGAGGTTAAAGGAATGTTTAAAGGCAAGTAACTTGATCCCACAACATCAATTTGGGTTCCGTGAACAACACTCCACTGTCCAACAAGTCTACCGAGCTTACCAAACAATTAGACAGTGTCTGGAAAGGAAAGAATACTGCTCAGCTGCTTTTATCGACGTCCAACAGGCTTTTGATCGTGTTTGGCACCGTGGATTATTGTGTAAAATTAAAACTCTTCTTCCTCACTCGATTTATCCCATAATCAAGTCTTACCTTGATAATAGAGTCTTCCAAGTAACACGTGGTGAGGGAACATCCACATTTTACTGTACAACATATACACATGCGACTTACCTCTGTCTCCCGGTGTTGCTATCACAACATTTGCTGATGCTGCTGCTTTTGCTGTCGTGCAGTTCCAACCCCAGTGTAGCAAGTGCACAACTACAGAGGCAACTAGGCGCTACCTCTGCCTGGTTGAAGAAAAGGCGAATCAATGCAAGTGCTACTAAATGGCAACATATCACCTTCGCCCTGATAGCCTACTTCAAACCTCATGCCTTGGAAATGACTCGGAAAGTACTTATAAAGTGCAAAAGAGACGAACTCAATAACATATTCAGAAACTTATTATGGCTTCTGGGTAGGTAGTCCATCCTGTCTCTTAGTAACAATGTCATGGTGTATTGTGCCATATTGAAGCAGATATGGCTCCAAGGCATTCAGTTACGGGCCACTGCCTCCAAATCGAACATCCAATGCCTTCAAAGAGTCCAAAACAACATCCTTCGAACTATCTGTGGTGCCACAAGGTACACCAGGAACTCTGAACGATTGTAGAAGTGATGGATGTATATAGATGTAAATCCTTTAGCTAAAATACTGGTTGATCGTGGCAACATTGAGAGTCATATTCCAGAACTCTACTCAATACTCAAGTCAGGAGTTGAGTATTGCAGTGAACACTGAAAATCATACTCAAGGCCTTGCCCTTAGGGTCGTATTTCCAGTGCTTGATATCATACTCAAGTCTGCTCAAATCCTGACTTGAGCATTGAGTAGAGTTCTGGAATACGACACTAAGAGATTGAAACGACAGCTCGTGTTCGATGACTAGGGTAGGCGGTAGCAGAGGCTTTCTCGCTCTCAAACGCCAAAAATCACTTAAACAATTTAAATATAGTCTGGCGACTGATTGTAAATAATAAAAATTTTGATCTGAAAAAACAACAATACACTGTAAGTGGCTGAAGCGCTAACCGGGAAAAGCCGAAAAAAAAAATAGTTTCCAATGAATTGATAACTATTTTATTTAAAAAAAACCAAAACAAGTTTGCTTATCAGCTTTTCATTGGAATTAGATCTACTTGCCAAGTTTTATTGAAATCGGTTAACGGAAAGTGCATGTAACCGGATTCATCCTCTTCGGCGAGGTGGAATATTTTCTTCAAGTTTAAATGGAGTCAATACTGAGGTACCCTCTTTCCCAAAAAAAAAGAATCGTCAAAATCGGTTCACAAATACCGGAGTAATTGGGAAACATACACACAAAAAAATATAGTCAAATTGAGAACCTCCTTCTTTTTTAAAGTCGGTTAAAAAACTAACTACTACTAGTAAAAAGTCATCTCGAATGCAACGTTGTAATTTGATCGCCACACGAAGCCAAATACAAATTAATGATAGAACGTATCCAGAACAAGTTCGTTAGATACCTATATTTAAAACAGTATGGTGTGTACCCAGGTTATCCACTGTTATATCCTACCCTATTTGTACTCGGCATGTTAGGCTAATATAGACTGGAAGTAAGAAGAGAAGTAGCTCTCGCCACTTACTTATTAAAAGTACTGCGTGGTAAGATACACAACCCATGTGTTCTAAACACAGTTCAGCTGTATGTACCTGACGGGTACGTAGGGCGACGCCGGCGGCCGCCGCTGATGTGGGTGCAGCGCGCGCGCACCAATCTGCTGCACAACGCGCCCCATATGCGGGCGCTGCGTGCCCTCAACGCGGTATCACACGACATTGATTTGTTCGATTGTACTCTGAATGAATTCGCACAGGTCGCATATTGTGGAATATCAATGGAAGTTTGTTATAGTTAACATGTACGTAAATATTTTGTTAGTAACTTTACTATTGTATTAGGTTATACCTGTAATGATAGTTGTAAGAGGTAAAAAATGAATAAAATAAATAAATAAAAAACTTACCTACCGAATGATGGACAAATAATGGCCCAATTCATTGACCTACCAAGGTCGATGGCCCAGTTAAAGAAATCCCTAAGTCTATTTAGCGATTTATGCACTATTACCACCATTGGCGGAAACTTAACATTGTCTATGGTTTAGTCTCACCGTTTTGTTTCTAAGTAGTTCCTATACCATGTTTTGAAAAATGTTGTATGCATGCTTGTTTGTATCGCTGCGCGTTTATATTATAAGCGATTGAACCGCTTCTGCAACGCGTTTGCATCGCTGCTAAAAGTCGGGTCTTGAGGACGGCAAAAAGTATACATATTTTGAATAAATGTCACATGCGCCCTTTTAACTAACGGCTGGTTGCAGAGTTGTCGGCAAAATATTTGATTTTTTTATAATATCAAGTGACGGGACGGACAAGCCGTGCGCCTGATGGTGAGCTACACGCCTGTCCATAGCAGTTGCAGCGCCACTGACAGTTTTAAATCGCAAACATCTGTGGCACTGCGCCCGTCACCCTGAGACATAAGTTGACAAGTTCCATGTGCCTGTAATTTCACCAGCGAATACTAACAACAACTTTTGTTTCATGGCTTTGAATAGATCGTCAACTTAATTTATAAATTAGGTTTGTTGAGTACTATTAAGTCAGTAAGATGTTTCGGATCTTTCTACACCTATTTCAATCGGTTATGTTCATATTATTATTTGCACAAATGTTTTCTGTGGCTTAGTAAATAAGGCCGCAGTATTAATATTTTGGATAAGCTCCTTTGATGACTCATTAATATGCATTATTTTCTTTATATATTTATTTAAATTCACCAACGCTTAATACATTCGGTTACAACAATATTTTACACACATTCGACAGGGTGTTACAGTTAAAATGCTTAACCAATTACAGGTGAACATGTCATGATGAGAGTATGAAAATTAAGACAAGTATTATTAATTTACTGTTTTTTTTTTACTGTTGTTATATTACATATGTTTACTGTATTAACAAATTAAATTATAAAATAAATATAATATACATTACAAATAATATTCATATTTTATATAGCGTTAAATTTTATATTACTAACTAAAATAATATATCGCCTGTGAACTGGCACGTGTGAAAAAAAAAGAAAAAAACTGTTTTTGTGTCATTTATATAGCATCTGGTTAATTAAATAAAAATACGTTTCTTTGGATATTTTTATTACACATATATGTATGTACTCTACGTATTTTTATTTAATAAACCAGATGCTATTATATGATTTATTCTTCATCCTGTAAAGTTGTGAAAATTGAGATAATACCTGTAGTCTGTTCACAGTCGATTTTATGAATATACAAAGCGATAAACCTCAAAACACGGGTGCATTAACTTAATTCACCTGAATTAGTTCACCTAGTTGCACGAAGTACACTTTTAGTAAATTTAAATATGATTAAATAATATATCGAGCAATAAATAGTCAACGTATTATGTAAGTGTCGTGATTAATTACTAGAAAAATGTTTAATGAAAGCAATGTCCAAATTTGGCGTTGATCAAACATAGGCACGTGTCAGGACATGCGTTCAAAAATTATAAAATGTTGGAGGCCCAGTCTTACTTTTCTTTTCCAATCTTTGATTACTACCCTATTTATTTCCTATTTTTGTGCCAATTTTCTTTCATACAAGAGAAATATAGTTTAATTGAATAAATCCGTACTCTCGTTAAGAATCTCATCAATTCATCTAAAAGCTAAACACTGGTTTAAGCAAAATATTGCCATGGCGTCGTCGCTACAAGAAAGCGTCTGTAGGTATGCAATCAACCGCCCAGCGGGGGGCTACGGCAAATAATGTCCGATTTTACTCCCGGCCGTTACTGCCCGCCTGGTAGTTAGATTTGATGTAAGGCTTATAAAAATACCTTGTAATTAAGATTCGCGGAATTTATTTCTATATACATACGTCGTTAGTCTACTGCTGGTTGGTTACAATTCGAATGTACCTCGTCAAATGTATATTATATTTATTAGAGATGCCAGAGAATATTCGGCTACTGTTCGGTATTCGGCCTACTTGGCCACTTTTTTTAGTATTCGGCATATCAAATAATGAAAAAAATGACATATTATACAAAATGTCGCATGTATCTTAATAACAAATTATTGCTTTAAAATCATCAGTGGCAGATTATGATGAATGAAAACAATTTTATCTGCATTGGTTGGTAACAAACGATTGCGCTTTTCCTCATAAACAATTCCTACTTCTGAAAATAGCCTCTCACTATAAACACTACTGCCAGGAGACGATAGATAAATCTTATCAAATTTTGACAGGCTTGGATACTGCTTCACCTGTGCTGACCAGCACTTGTAAGGATCTTCCATCCGATCTTGGCGAACAGTTTTCAAATAAAAATCAATCATATTATCTGATGCGACTTCTTCAGAACAGGTCCAGAAACTATCATGTATTGATTCTATCGTTTTCTCATTTTTCAACAAAAACACTCCACCCCCGTTACCTCCGCACGCAGCGCAAAAAGACAGGTCGTAACAGGTCGCGCCTGACATGTACGTACATATCTTATGCCGAACATTCGGCAGTCGAATATTCAGTATTCGGTATTCAGCCAAATCACTACTCGTGGCATCTCTAATATTTATTTTCAGACAACTTAATGATACATAGATTGTTAGTAAACAAAACCTTAATAACTACGCTAGTACAATAATAATAGTTTTAACTAAAAAAGTACAGTGGTACAAAAATAGCCTAGCATGTGACAACTTGAAGCTTACTTACCTGTTTACCAAACACCCCAGTTCTCAAGAAATTACAACTGTATGGTGGTGAAAACTGAATCTATAATTTCGATTTCTCTATAATAGTTTGATTGACAGTAGAGCTCCTTGTAAATAGAGGTCGTCCAGGGAAGTACTCCTTCTGCCTAAATAATTCTGCCGCCATACAGTAACGTGAACATTACTGGGTTTCAGTTTTGAAAAGTTAAGTGTGCTGGTGAAATGACCGGCACATGAGACTTGTCAACTTGTCTCAGGGTGACAGATGCTGTGGCAGTGTCCCTCAGATATTTGCGATTTAAAGTGGCACTGCAACTGGCGCACGACTTGTTCATCCCGTCACTTGATAACATATAGAAAACAAAAATTTAACCTAGATTGTCCGCGTCATATGCTGGTGTAATACTATTTTATAAACCAATACAACACAGATTAATATATTACAAAACATACCCTGACGATAGGAATAGCATCTATCTAACATTACAATTCAGCACATATAAATCGTTAATCATCAAAGTTGTAAGTATCCAATTTAGCGCACGCGCATGCCCCATTATCGAGTTCACAACACATCCGTTGACATTTGAATTTAGAAGAATACCCTGTTACGGTTACTGATTTTAATTGAACCCATTCTTTTGAATTCAAATGTTTTATGAATTTCTTCAAAGGTCAGATGTAATCGTTGAAAACAAAATTAAATAGAATAAACTAATATAATAATCGTGCCTGGATATTTAAAAGGCATTATCAAAACGTACAATTAAAATTAAAAAGTAAGTAAAATTTAGAACAAAGCGTTCCGAAATTCAAATTCAAAAAAAGTAACTGGCGCAATTAAAAAACGCGCATGCTATCATTAAAGGCAAAGGGTTTAATCGTCTGTAATTACAATGAATAACAAAATAACACGTTTATTCAGTAAAAATGTAAGTCCTGAGTTTTATTCATGTTTTATTCTATAATTACAGACAGCGTTAAATCGACGGAATCGAATGTTAATTTTTTTTAATCACTCTGTTTTGATCTCGCAGACGCGTCTAAGGTTTTAAGTCTTCAATTCGCTTTTTTTTTTCATTCACCTGATCCCAATCCTCTTTACGTTCTCGTATTTTGAGACTGGTTTTTTAAAACCTTTACGCTTTAACAGATAGATTTTATTGAGTTCTATGATGTTTTACTACCATTTTCTTTTGAATTACTCCTTTAGTTTGTTATAATTATTAATAGAAAGTTCGAACATAAAAAAAAATTCCTTCGATCTGACAGAACACAACAAACAAAGAAAATTGTAACAAACGCATAGAGAAATTTTTCTTTGTGCTCGACCTTCGTATTAATTCAAAATAAACTAGCTGACGTACAACAAGCGTCAATCAGCAATGTGAGAACACAGCGTTCCGGTTTTGATGGGTAAGGGTGCTGGTGCAATTACAGGCACAAGGGACTCGTCAATTCCTGTTTCGGGTGACGGGCGCAGTGGCAGTGCCCCTCAGATCTTTGCGATTTAAAGCTCTGAGTGGCATTGCAACTGTTATGGACAGGCGTGTCGCTTCTCACCAGCCACACGACTTGTTAGTCCCGTCACTTCATAACTAATAAAAAACCAAAATTAAACATACTTTCCCAAACTCGTTGGCTCGCCGCCCACTTAGACTTGATAAAAAAATTTCATCGCAGACCACCGCAAAAAATAATTGAAAACACATATATTTTTATATTTTTTAACTTATAATGTTAAATGTTAACTTTCCAAAAGCGATAACACCCCCTGGTCAACCTCAACGCCCCCCCATTGCTTACCTTTAGGACTCTTCAGCGCCCACTGGTAGGGAAACTATGGCCTAAACCTTCGCCTGAAAGCAGACCCGTGTCCAGCAGTGGGACATATAGATGGGTTGTTAATGATAATGATGAGATAGAGTAATTTGATAAAATAGATTATAATATTAGTTAAGAAATTATTTTCTTCTAATAATTCAAAATTCCAAGAAGTCCACGCAAATATTTACTAGTTTTAGAGAACAATATGTAAATGTACTTATTTGCAAAGATTCC